ATCGGATCGGATCACCTGTATCGGTGTGAGGGTGTTACTCAACATCTCAAGGAGTAATAACAAATCTCTTAACTATTTAAGTCGCTTAATCCTTAAAAAAAACCTTTGAGTTTTTACGTAAAAACTAAAAACAAATGGCGTTTAATTCAATACACCAACTTAATTTTAAAAGTAGTGTAATAAATTAAAAATTTGTAGATAAATATAATTTATTTTCTTATTTTAATTATAATATATATTTTTAATTACAAAGTGAATTTGATGAAATTTTAGTAATAATTACACATTGGGTTGGTTGCACGTCGGTTAACATTTTAAAAAGAATATAAAACAAATATAACCAATAAATTGGCCGCTGTGGGACCGAAATTCAACGTGGCAGGAGAAGAGTTGTTGGACCTATCAACGGCGGTGGTGAGTAGGTCCGTGTTAAAAATGGTCGGTGTCGCTGAATTCAACAGTGGTTAGCCGGTATATTCATTTTAGTCATCCCACGCACCATTTTCCATGTGATTCCAGCTATCCATCATATTCAAGACACGTGGTGTCTTATAAACCACTTATCAAGTACGGCTCTGATTAGCTGAAACTGGCTTTCTTTCTTCCTGCTTTTGTAAGATCAGACGGTCCTGCATTTTTTACATTTTATTTTGGTATTTGTGAAAGATAAAAGTTTTCGGATTGGGAGCCACGCAGACAGTGAGTGTAATAGTGGAAGATGCACCGCGCTCTTCGTAATTACTTAATTAATGAACCATATTTATTTATTTATTTATTTTAATAAGCAATCTCATTAAAAAAATACATTATCCAAATGATTTAATTATTATTAACTAATAAAAAGGGAAAATTAGGATAAAAGATTTTTACCCATCATTGTATAAATATTCAGAGATAGATATATAACTTTATGGTAGAAAACAAATCTATAAAATTTTAAAAAGTAAAAATATATTATTAATAAAATATATAAAAAAAATTAAATTATATAAAATTTAATATATTTAAAAGAAACAATCACCCAATCAACCCATTGATCTATCTTTGTAAATATTACAAAAGAATAATGTTAAAAATATCTTTAATGTTTGTATAAATAATTAATTTGACTCAGATTTTTTAACATTTTAATTCTGAACATTTGATTTTTTTAAAAAACTCACTTTATAGATAGTAATCATTAGTCAATAAATGATTTACACTCTAAAATAAAAATATTTGTATCTTAAAATAAAACGTTAAGAATCATAATACTCTAAAAAAATTAAAATTAAAATAAATTAAAGAGATCTTTTGTTTATCCTTAAATAAAACATTAAACTATAAACAACGAGGGAGATGAAGAATCAAAGTCCATGAACAAACAGTGGTGTCTCATGGTGGGGTATCGGACAATATAATAAACCATATCTTTAGGAATATGGGCGGCACAGTGATATGTTAAATTAACACACTCACCCAGTATATATACACACATCTTCTCCACTTCTCCATACTTCCCATCACAAGCAAATAAAATTTCTTCTCATCTCTTTCAATTTCCAATCATCTTTGTCATTTGAATTTCCTAAGAAAGTAATGGGAAAGGACATTGAGGTTGGTGGTGAGGTCCAAGCCAAGGACTACCATGATCCTCCTCCGGCTCCATTGGTGGACGCCGAGGAGTTAACAAAGTGGTCATTCTATAGAGCCGTGATAGCCGAGTTCATAGCCACGCTCTTGTTTTTGTACATCACCGTCTTGACGGTGATCGGATACAAGAGCCAGGTCGACACCACCAAGGGCGGTGACGATTGTGGCGGCGTTGGCATTCTCGGCATCGCTTGGGCTTTTGGTGGCATGATCTTTATCCTTGTTTACTGCACCGCTGGTATCTCTGGTAAATTTCAAAACTCTTCACATCATCATGTGTTTGATGAAAAAGGGTGTGTTTTTTTCTATGTTTCTAACAGTTTTAGGTCAATTATATGTATGCAGGAGGACACATTAACCCAGCAGTGACATTCGGGCTTTTCTTGGCTCGGAAAGTGTCATTGGTTCGAGCCATACTTTACATGACGGCTCAATGCTTGGGTGCCATTTGTGGATGTGGTCTAGTGAAGGCATTCCAAAAATCATATTACCATCAGTATGGAGGAGGAGCCAACAGCCTTGCCGATGGATACACCACCGGAACTGGTTTGGGAGCTGAAATCATCGGCACCTTTGTTCTTGTCTACACTGTTTTCTCTGCAACTGATCCCAAGAGGAGTGCCAGAGACTCTCATGTTCCTGTATGTCTGCAAATTTCTTCAAAAATTTTCCTAACTTCTTAGTATGTCATTTGTTCTCAGTTGCTTATTATTTTGATTCAAGGTGTTGGCACCCCTTCCCATTGGATTTGCTGTGTTCATGGTTCACTTGGCAACTATTCCGATCACCGGCACCGGAATCAATCCTGCTCGTAGTTTTGGAGCAGCTGTTATCTTCAACCAGGACAAGCCTTGGGATGACCACTGGATTTTCTGGGTTGGTCCATTCATTGGTGCTGCCATTGCTGCAATCTATTACCAGTTTATCCTTAGGGCAGGTGCTGTTAAAGCTCTTGGATCCTTCAGGAGCAGCTCAGCCATGTAATTTAAGCTATGATTCTGCAGCCACAAGTTCATAATAGAAGAAAAGAGTGGCCATGGGGGGTTGAATTAAGTTTTATCAATGCGGCGAAGAGGCTTCAGGCTGTTGAATTTGTAAATTATAATGGAAGATGTAGTGCTTTTCTGAATGTTTTTTCCTTTTTTATTTGTGTTTTCTTTTGTATTGGTGTACTAAATTATGCTTGAAAATTTTATAAAATCAAAGTACTCTGTTTTATAATTTTTTATTAATTTGAAATGATTATAAAATAATATTTATTTAATTCTTTAATTTATTGATAATACACATAGATATAATTATTCTAAGTAACTTTAAACACTCATAAGTAATTTTTGGGTCTTAAATTTAAAATTTTAAAAAATAATGATAATTCATTTACCAAGATGGTTTTGATTGGTAGTAATTTAATTTTTAAGTTTCTGTTACTTATTTTAAATAAAATATTAATTATAAATAACAAATAACCCTAACATAACGAGGTTTAAAGATTGATCTTACTCTTGGTTAAAAGTTGAGATGATATTCCAATGGATTGTAATTTGAACTATGAAATAAAACTAATCAATGACAATCTTAAGATGAATGTTTTATGAATTTGTGTTATGATTTTCACTTACTAACTAAATTTCACACAATTATGGTCATGAAATTTCTTAGGGAGCTTTTAAATGGGTGGCAATGGTGAGAGCTAGGAGGAAGAAGGTTTCATTTTGTGCTTTATCTTTCCTCCATGTAAATCGTGGGGTTTGCCCCATTTTGCACATATTTTCTACAATATTTTAATTAGGAAATTAAGCTAAATTCTATCAAAGGGCACCTAAGCTAATGACTCACCAATCAAGAGGAAATGATATAATTACTATGCAAATGTAAGAATTTCATCTTCCTTACGAATTGGTCCCCAAATTATAGTGATGTCCTCGAATATGAAGAAACAAATTTATCATTGCAAGTTTTTAGAATAGAATGTGATCAGACAGAATTTGATGCTTATTGGTCTCTTCCCTATCTATATTTCTCAGCAATAGGTAAAGAAGGATAACTGTCGACACCCAATTTTGTCTGAGCTCAAGGCTTAGACCCAACAAAGCAAAAGCTAGAAAAACTCAGACCATACCTACAACCCGAAACAACCTAAACCTGTGTGTGAACCTGAATCTAACCATGTATCTGGTCAGCATCTCTTATTCGAGAATCTTGTGCTACTCAATCAGTCTCTCCACGTCTCTCTCTCGTTGCCTAAAATCCTCAAAAAATCAACCAAAATCCATAAAATCTAACTGGCTCCACCACTTAGCGACCACAATTTTGTCCCTATTAAAAAATATGATATAATTCACAAATAAAAGGTAAAAAACAAAAGAAAAATATGATATAAAAAATAAAAGAATATTAAAAAATATTAATAGTCGGTAACCAACATCAAGACTGATGTCACCGTTGACCAACAAAGATAAAAAAAAAAAAGAAAAATGAGTGACTGAAAAAAATAAAATAAAACTAATTTAACTCGCAATATATTTATAAATTGTTTTATATCATCCTTAACTCTTCTTAAAGTAATCGTGTCTTTGTAGCCTCTTTTTAAATACAACACAATTTCTTTAAGGTACCAACTTATGCGCATGATGAGTGTGTTTAAACCTTCCTAACATTTAATCGACTCTCAAATCGAACTATGATTATAATGAAAATGTATATCAGATTTATAAGTATTCAGTCATACTTATCTCAAAATGACCGATGATGACTTCAATTACGTAACAAGCTCTTCAAAGATTCAATGCATTCGAACAACCACATGATGACATTGACAAATATAAAATTATAAAACTATGATGAAGGTTTAGAATTTTAAAATTCATATTATCTAATTTAATTTTTTTAGTTATTTACCCATATTCAATACATTTTTTGTGTTATCAAAATCAAATGAAAAATAATAATTCTTTAAATTTTTATTATTCTAGATTAATTTTTTTTAATCTATTGATAACGCATGTTCACTTTACGGACATAATTGTTCTAACCCGTAATTCTTAGAAAATTTCATCCTGATTGTATCTCTACTTACAGGTGCTGTTACATGTCAAGATTTCATATTTTTCCATGTTTTAAGGTCGAGCTTTCCTCATTTCTCTCATGCCACCTTTCTCTCTCGGGAAATTTCTTGTAACAAGACAGGCATTAATGTTATTAGCCCTCATTAATGCCAATGCATTAAACCCTGATATTGAGGAATTATTAATGGCAATCTTTTCATGATGATAATCTATTCATTCAAAAGGCTTCAGCATCAAACGAACTTGTACCTGGACAAAAGTTTATATAAGGCAATGTGTTCTACAACTTGGGACATTAAATCCTCAAGAATTATACAATTTCTAAGATCCCAACCATGCTTAAACAAGCCTTCAAAGTATGTTTCTCTTTGTTTATAGTGCTCTCATTGTTAGTAAACTATAGTATTTCTACAGATTCAACTGAGAAATATGCTCCACCAGCATCAGAATCTGAAAACAAATCTACTGAGCCAACTGATCTTCAAACCAAAGGTGAACAAAATTTCTTAGACCAACAGCTTGCATCTTCACCATCTGTCAATGCTGATCCTACTATTCAAACCAAAGGTGATAACAATGTCCCCGCTTCTCCTTCTCCTTCTATTGTTGATAATTCGGTCCTCGACACCGGAGATATGGATAGTCTCTTGAGAGAGAATACATCGGTCTCTCGATCGAATGCTAATCCTCCAGCTGCTGAAGCCAAAGGGAGTGGCGTTGGAGTTATTGCCCAAGAAAACCCCTCTCTTATTCCAACTGTTGAAACCAAAGGTGATAACAATAGCCCTACTTCTCCTTCTTCTTCTGTTGTTGATAATTCGGTCGTCGACACCGGAGATATGGATAGTCTCTCTGGAGAGAATACATCGGTCTCTGTATCGAATGCCGATCCTCCAGCCGCTGAAACCAAAGAGAGGGGCATTGGAGTTACCGTCCAAGAAAACACCTCTCTTCCTCCAACTGTTGAAACCAACGGTGATAACAATAGCCTTACTTCTCCTTCTCCTTCGATCGATGATAATTCAGTCCTCGACACCAGAGACATGGATGGTATCTCCCAAGAGAATACATCAATCCCTCTTTCGAATGCTGATCCTCCAGCTGCTGAAACCAAAGAGAGTAGCAATGAAGATCTTGTCCAAGAAAACACATCTCTTCCTCCAACTGTTGAAACCAAAGAGGAAGGAAACAATGTTTCTCAAGAGAATACATTGGTTCCTTCATCTCCTTCTCCTTTTCCCCCCGCATACATCGACACCCCGGCTTTCGAAACCTCAGATGACGGAAGTTTCACTCAAGAAAATCAATCTCCTCCTCCTAACACGGTATCCGAAAATCCCGAAAATGTACCTCAACTTAATGACTACAACTCCCAACCCAACAATGTCGTTCCTGCACCGCCGGAGGCAGTTTCGTACCCCGAATTAGACCCCACCATCCAATCAACTCCTTCGAACGACGACACTTACGATTCAGCTCCACCAACAAGTAATCAGCATACAATCTTGCCCTTCAACTACAGGGCTGAAGATGAGCCTGTCGAACCTTCCCAAGAAGAGGAGGATTCTTGGAACAGAGCGAATGGAGCAGTGGCTGGTGTCCTGGTTGGTGCTTGTGTTATCGGGGTGGGAGCTTTCGTGTACCAGAAGAGGAAGAAAGACAATGTTAGAGCACAATATCAATATCAGTGCTTGGGCAAGAAAGAAGGGGTTTGAACTTTGTGAAGCTATATCAATTTACATTTATGTCTATTGTATTGCTATACTATATAATGAATTTGGAGTGCATAGAACATGAAGGATCGATCAATGAAATATGCAGCTTCTAGTATGATGAAGTTGGAGAAGAAGGCTTCCACGCGGATTTCTTCAAGACTTGTAGTTTGGTGATTTGTCCCCATATATACAAGTATAATTGCATTGTCTTTAGTGATTTTACTGATTTTGATTATACTTTGAATAAATATAGTTTAATTTCATAAAATTAATTGTTTAAAATTTTCAAAATAAGTAAAATATATCTAACTATTTTAATTATTTAAATATTATAATAATAAAAATGTTAAATTCTAATTAAAACATTAGAGAAAAATTAATTTATAAAAATAGAAGAGAAAATTGACACATATTATAAACACAGTTCGTGAGCTTTATATATGAAGAGTATTGTATCTTTTAACATATAAGAAGAGATTAAAACATATTAAAATTTATAATTATTTTTTTACTACAAAAGAAACCATAGATTAATACATATTGGTTTAAACATTTACCCACATATAAGTTTGGTTATATTTATCCTTATGTAAAAAAAAACTAATATATATATACCACTATTTTATATTTTTAAATAATATAGGCTTAATATAAAAATACATAATTATACCTCTTCCCATTTAGATACTTCAACTTTTTTCGGTCAATGTAAATATGTAATGTTACAAACGTTACCATTTTAAGTGTCTCGGCATAACAAACGTTAAAAAATTGTTATCCATTTAGATCTTGATAAGAAATATCCCGGTCAATAGGTTAATGATAAGCTCAAATGACCATCGATTTTTAACAAGAAATGATGAGTTTGAAATATATGAATAATAGGGTGACCATTTTGTAACTTTTAATAATCAGGGCACTCAACATAGCAATATCCTATAATTGAGGGATCATTTTATAACTTTTAATAGTCTTAGGACTCATCAAAACATTGTCCTATAATCAGGAACCATTTATGTACTTTATCTTATAAATAATATACATACATACAGACATACATACATACATACATATATACATATACATGCATACATATATATATATATATATATATATATATATATATTTTAAAGAAGCAAACAAAATCCCGGGGGAGTTCCAAGCAAAATCTTCTTCCACGACTGTCCACATGCACTGCTCAGAGTTCTCCCCCAGACTATCTGGGTCCATTAGTTGTCCTGGACCATGGATCTACCACCCTCATCCTGCATATATATATATATATATATATATATATATATATATATATATATATATATATATACATGGACAAACTATGCTTCGTCAGAGGAGCAACTGTCCCCTATTTTTTATAATTATAAAGAATATAAGGGTAAATATTAAATTAGAACTCTATTAATTTTAGTTAATTTTGATTTTATTTCTTCATTTCCTATGATTAATTACATTTTATCTCCTTAAACTAATATTCTGGCCAAGGCCGGTCCAATGTGTTTTAATGCCCTGAGCGAGATAATAATTTTATGCCCATATACTTACTTGTACCGTATAATAGACAAAACATAAATAATTTTTTAAAACAAAAATGTAATAGAAATTATAGTCAAACAATATCAATACTAATACAAACCAAAACCTACAAGGCTACAAATATCACATAAAACAATATCTTCATGCATTTTTTGAAGCAAAAACCTCTATTATTTTACGATAATCAAGACTTTGTAAAAATTGACTTTCGCTGCTTAAAATTGCATTAGGTTTTGGAAAATTTGTATTAGGTTCAATTTCTCTATTAGGCCCTTTTTCTATAAGTAAATCTTTCATTTTTGAATCTAAGTCATCTCACACTCTAGGATCAAAAATATTAAAATCACTTGATTTATCTATATCAACAAATTCATTATTCTCACAATCTTTAGAATTATCAATCGAATCATTAGGTGAATCATTGGAATTTCCAATCGGATTACTAGAAGGTTTAACCTGTCTAACAATAAATCTATCTAAAGACCCATGTAAAGAATTAGCCATTTCTTGTTCTTGTTTTTTTCGTTTTCTATTTTGGGCACCAGATGGTTGTTTTCGAGGTAACATATTTAAAAGTAATCAATAAAATAAATATAGTAGCAAGTAAACAATAAAATATATATATTAGCAAGGAAAGATACAACCTGACCGGTGACCGAAGTTTATGTTATTGACTTGTTCTTTCTCACAATCAACTTATCTGGAAAATTAATTATGAAATCAAAATAATTAGAAGGAATAACTCTAAAAAATGTATTGAACGAAAATATTTAGCCACTATTTTTTTCATCAAACTAAGTTTGCCACATATGATTTCCTTCTTACATTTGGACAATTGAAAACTCTAGCTTCCAATTTGAAAGAAAGTCGATATAAATATGTAAAGTTATATGCTGGACTCTAAACTAGAAGAAGCAAATATCACATGCAATGAGAAAATTCTCCCTTCTACTTAGAACACAGAACAACAACATAAAATAAAATGACATCACTTTTAACTCTATTCTTCCCTTCCACCAATTCCATACATCTATTAAACAAGCTCAATTTAATTTCTAAGTAACTAGTGATTCTCTCATTCTGAATGTCTTATTCAGTATTTCAAAAGAGGTATAGCATATAATTAATGTATATATTCTCAATGCACGATGGAGGGTAGTGGCAATCCATAGTTGAAGCAAAACAACCATACTAATCTGCAATGAGTTTAAGTTTATATTTCATTTACACTATTCATTTCAAAATTCAAATGGATCTATCATTTGGAAGTTCAAAGCTTAACTCCAATCAGTGTATCTGGAAAGTTCACTCTCTCTTCCTCCAATCTCGAAACAGAAACAATGGAAATCCCAGATTTCCGTTTAAGTAAATAAGAACAAAACAGGAAAAAAATCGAAACTATTTAGCAAAGTTGTACAGCCTCATATCTAGAAACAGAGGAATAGAAACATAACCCATGAAAACGCAGTAGAATATCAATAAAAAGAAACCGTTTCCATACTAGTAATAAAAATTGAGGGGGGAAAATCAAATTTTCATTACCTTGCCTCTTCCTCTCCCAATAGACAAACAATGACAAAAACAAACTACACTCTGTCATCGATTTGTTCAAAAAGCAAAAAAAGATAAATAGCTTACAATTTGATCGATTTTAAGCCTTTTTGGCGATCAAACAAACTAAAAATCAATTGGTTTAGGCGAGTAAAACCGTGTAACATAGAAATTAAACCCTAGAAAACTGCCCCTCAAACATGTTACCCTGGGCCATCGCCCATGTGGCACATGTATTGGACCGGCCCTGATTCTGGTTCAGTCACTGACCATTCATCAACCCTAATATCTTCTTGGAAATCAAGCTTTCTATCTTGTAATTAAGCTATTCACTAGGGTTTCACGTTTTCATAACATTGGATTCTAACAATAGCATTTGATTTGAGAAGGATAAATACAAAAAGAATAAGATGGATCCCATGCAAATAACTGACCTTGGGGATGGTGGGCGGGGGAGACTAGATAGGACTTACATTTATATTTTATACACTATATACAATGTACACACCATTTGAATTGGATCTTTGGAAGATTTTGTTGGCCCCATTCGCCCAATTTATTCAGCCATGGTAGTTTTGACTGCCAAAAAAAGGATAAATTATATCAATGGTCACTAAAGTTTGAGTAAGTTTCTTTTTTACCATTAAAGTTTTAAAAGTTACAAATAAAACAATCACTCTACTATTAACCAATTAGCATGTGAAAATTAGAGAGCTGATTTGGCACTTTTGACCCTTTAAAAAACACAAATTCTACATAAGTTTTTCTTCTTTTCAACTCAGCTTAAATCTTCTCATCTTCCCTTCTTCACTTATGTGTTTTTTAATTTTTTTAAAGGTTTCAAAGGGCGTCGATTCAGCTCTCTAACTTTTACATTAGTCTTCTGTTACACAGGATGTTAATGGTAGATTAGAAAACAATAATGTTAGTGACTGTTTCGTAATTTTAGTGATGAAATGAGAAACTTAAACTTTAGTGACCGTTGGTGTAGTTTATCCCAAAAAGTAAGATTCAGGTTGACTCTACACAGAGACGTTTAGTTGCAAAAGAAAAGGCTAGACAAGCTGACTGAGCCAACATGTGATGAGATCAGGGTGTTTAAAATCTCTAGGTTAAAGGGTTTCGGCAGCTACTTCACAAATTGACAATGAATTATTGTTTTTTTATTGGTTCTTTTGTTTATTTTGAGAATTTGAAACACTCCCCTCCATCACTCTGCAATCAACTTGATACTGCATTCAATTCTAAGCATAACTTTGTTGTCAGATTACTCTGTTCCTGTCGTGTGTAAGACTTAACTTGGACAGTTGAAGTTCCACACATATGAGGCTGTCTAATTGAGGAAACCAAAATATGTTTGAATGAACAATGGGATTTACTTGAGATAGTAATTTGATGAGAAGTTGATTTCATGATTACAACTGTTGGTAGGTGAAACTGGAGCTTTAACCAACAGGTAAATATGGAGACTTCAGTGAAAATGGAATACAAACAAAACAGAGAAAATATGGCGAACCCTTTATTGCTTCATCGTCATTTGTAACCAACCTCATCAACTATTTCTATCTCTTCCTTTTTCTATTTTGTATTTCCACTTCAATCCCATGTCAACAAACAAGGAGAAAAAAATGAAGATGAAGACCATAACAACAACAATAGCAGCAAAGACCCGCCGTCATGCAAATCCTCTGAACCACCATGTTCCTCCTCATTCTCCTCCTCATTTCAGCCATTTTCGCGTATGGGTTCGGATCAATGGGTCCCATCTCCGTCGCATTCGGCGACGATGGGTTCTTTTGTGCCATTGATGCCAGTAGGAAACCGAAAGTTATATGTTTGAACAAAAACAACAACTTCTTCTTCTTTCTTCTTTCTTCGTCTTCTTCTTCTTCTTCTTT